CTGCACCTGGGCAAGTAGCTCCTTTCCTCCCCCCCCCCCCCCCGTGACGAAGGGCTCTTGCAGGCTTGCTCGGTGTCCACCCCCTCCCTTTCCATGTCCTAGCCAGCCAGCGGCCACCTTGCAGGATGTGGCCCCTGGGCTGGTGTGGGTCCCCTCCGTTGTGCCTTCTGTCAAGAACCAGGCCGGGAAGGAAGAGAAGCCCAGCAGCTGCAGGAGCAGCTATTGGACGGGGCTTCCCTCCCAGCTGCCGCCGGACTCGGGGCAGGACAGCGCTGTGGCCGGAGTAAAGGCGCCTGCTTCCTGCCCCCTGACAGGGCCTGCAGCCAGCGCGCCTCTATCGGCCACGCCGGTAATTGCAGGCGGAGGCTGCGTTTGATTCCCGGGACTTCGGTCGCGTGCTCGGACTACGGAGGCCGCCTTGTTCGCGGGTTCCCCTCTTCGGACGGGTCAGGCGAGCGCGGTTCCCGCAAGCAGCGCGATTGAAGTGTGCTGCGTCAATGTGTGCTCAGCTGGTCGTGGGAATTCAGCCGGCCTCCCTGGACCGCTCCGGGGTCGAAGGCCGAAAGACCCTTCACGAGGAAGGAACCGGCGGACGGGCCCGCGCTCTCCCCACCGGGGCGGCTGCCAAGTCTGGCGCGCCTTAGCCCAGCGTTCCGCACGGGTGCGAGACGGGCTTCGGGGGTAGCTCCGCCGCAGGAGCCTCCCGAGCGACCCCGCCGGCGGGTTTGGGCCTCGCGGGGCCTCCGAGGCAGCGGCGTAGGGCTCTGGGCGCTGGCCGTCGAAGGACGCCTGGACGGGCTCCGAGGGGCTGCCGTGCAGCGCCAGACGCGGCCGGAGCGCTTCCGGAGCTGGCTGCCCGGGGCGGGCGCGGCGAGGGGCGGGCGCAGGTCGGCAGGGCGGAGCTCCCCGCTGACGCTTGGCGGGGGCAGGAAGCGGCGGCGGCGGCAGGGTTGCCATGGCTGGCGGCGGCGGCGGCGCCATGGCTGAGCCCTCGGTGGCCGCGTACTTCGCCTACAAGCGGGCGGTGCTGCTGGGCGGCTCGGAGTGGCTGAGCGCGCCCGAACTACACCGGCAGCGCCTCCTGCGCAGCCGGCTCTGCTGCCTGGGTGAGTGGCCGAGACGCGCGCAGCAGGGCTCGCGGGAGCGCCCGGGCTGGCCGTGTGGGCCGCGAGTGGAGCTTGGCCGGCCCTCCTCCGTCCCCGCTCTCGCCCGCGGCCGAGGGAGCCGGGCCGAAGGCCGCCTCCAGCACTGCCGTTCCCAGCACTCGCCCGTCCGGGGTTCCTGGCGGCGCCGCTTCTCCCTGCAAGCCCTTTCGCTGTGGCGGGCCGCCGCCTGCCGGAAAAGGCGGGAAGGGGCCCGCTCAGCTGGGGCGTCTATCGCGTAGCTCCGCCTCCGAAGCGGCGCTGAGAATGGGACGGCCCCGAGCGACCCCGCCGCCTCCTCCAGAAATTACAGCGTTGGGCTGGCGCCGTCGCCGCACCCCAAAGTGGGCCAAGTTGGCAAGGCGGCTGTGCGGGTGGGGATCCCCTTGGATGGGGTCGGTGTGGGGAGGGGGAAGAGCCCCTTGTGCCCGAGGGTGGCAAATGCGCCTCCCTCCCCTGGAGAGAGTCTGGCTGCAGGTCTGGGGAACTTGCATTTCTGGACATGGGGGAGCTGCCCACCTTCTTAGGCTGCAGGCGGAACTGCCACGGGTGCAGAGCCGTGCAAAGGGGCGGAGGAAGGAGGGGGGCAAGCCGCGGCCCTTCCCCAAGGCTCTTGGCCGCCTGTGCCCTGCCCAGGGAGGAGGCCCTGGAAACTGGCAATTCGGGAGCCTCTGGAAAGTTCTGCTTGCCAGATTTTGGGAGGGATGCAATGAGGAAAAGAGCAGAAGGCGAGGCTGGAACATTTGGGACTCTTCAGCTTGGAAAAAGGCAGCAGGGACAGAAACGTGGACAAGGGGGCGTTTCTCTCCTCCTTTCAGAGGGTCAGGTGCCTTTCTCTGGCTAGGCAGGCGGCCAGCCAGAATGTAAACAAGTTGTGCATCTGTCCCAGCCAGAGGTTGTGCAAGTGGGCTCAGGTTGTGGCAGTTAGTGAGGACTCTCTTGAGGAAGAAGTCCTTCCTGGCGGCTGGTCAGGCTTGGACTGAGACAGGTGATGATCCAGAGGAGAAGCTACTTCCAGGTGACTTTTGATTTTGTTCTCAGCCTCCCCCCCTCCCCCCGCTGGGGGCTGGACAAACAGCCCACAAGCAGTGCAGTCACGCAGGGCCAGTCTCCCAAGGCCATTGGTCTGGAAGGCTCCACCTGACCTTCAGGTAGGGACAACCCACCTCCAAATCCAGACCAAGGGTGGCGGAGGTTCCTCTGGATGCCCACTAGGAAAACATGAGTACAGACCCAACTGGGCTGTCCTTCTGGCGCTCAGGGCTTAAAGCAACCAGGCTCACCTGTTGAAAAGTTCAGTCTGTTAGCTGAGTGAATCCTTGGCTCCAGAAAAAAACAGAAAGCCCCCCTCGCCCCCATCTTCTGGCTGGGTCTTCCTCCGAGGGTCACGTTGCCTTAGCACCAGGTGTAGCTCACGAGAAGGAAGACTCTTCGTTCCTCAGAAGGAAGTGGCTCCCTTTAGCCCAGAGAGACCTTTCTACCTTTACCCTCCAGCCACTCTTGAAGAGGAAACTCCGCTGCCAGGGGAAGGCCCTGTGGACTCCCGTGGGTCCCGCTTGAGCAGTGGGTCGGATTGCAGCCAGGTGTTCTAGGTGGGGCTGCCTTTGAAGGGGGCCTCAAAGGTATGGCTGCTACAGAATCGGCTGCCCTTTCAAAACTAACACCCATTTCACCTATTTGGGTGCCAGTTGTGATCTTTAAAGCCATCTGTGGTTCATAGAGCCTCGGTGGCACAATGGTTAGAGTGCAGCACTGCAGGCTCCTTCTGCTGACTGCCAGCTGCCTCCAATTGGACAGTTCAAATCCCACCAGGCTCCAGGTTGACTCAGCCTTCCATCCTTCTGAGGTGGGTCAAATGAGGACCCCGATTGTTGGGGGTAAGAGCCTGGCTCTGTAAAACCCTTTAGACAGGGCTGGAAAGCCCTGTGAGGCGGTATATAAGTCTTAAATGCTATTGCTATACCAGCATACTTTGGCAAATGCCTTGTCGTCCTTCCCCCACACCTGCCTTCCGAGGTCTTCCGAAAGGGCTTAAGACCTGGCCTTACACAAGGTGGGGGGGGGGGTGCATCATGGATTTGAATGGTCCCCTACTGTGCCCACCCCTCGGGATACCTTGTTCCTGGCCCTCAGGAAGCCCGTTGGGAACTGTGCCATAAGTTTGATGCTGGGGAGGGGGGAGAAGAAGGGGTGTTGCAGGATTTGCTTGGGAAGCACCTGAGCTGCGAGGCAGAGGAGGGGTAGGTTGCTCCTGGGCGGCCAGTGGGGGCTTCCCACCTCTGGGTGATGTTGCTCGGTGTCATCCGTGCTCTTTGGAGGGAATGAAGGAAGACCTTGGAACCGAAGAGCAAAGCAAAGACAGCGTAGCAGCCCTTCTTCCATCATGGGTGGAGTCGGGTGGAAAGTTATTTCCTATGATTCAGAAAACACGTCTGCTGTGAATTGCATTGGGGGGGTGGGGGTTTATCAGATGGTTTGCACTGCTGATTCAGGACAGCATGAGGTCCTTTGATGTTCATGACTTCCTGTTTCTGGAAAACCCTCCTTTGCTTTGCTTCTGTGCAGAAGGGGGGGGGCTCCTCCGTCCAGGGCGGGGGGGGGGGCTGCCTTAGATTCTAGAGCTGGGCCCTAGTGGGGAGGGGCGCGCACCCTGGCTCGACGCAGCTATTTTGTGACCCAGCAGGCCCCTTTGGCTGCTGTTATGTGAGCTGAAGGCCAGGCTAGGATTGTCTGCAGCTGGAAGACAAGGCACACGCATCTCTCCTGCCAGGCTCCTGCAGTGGGGAGAATGAGGGAGCCCATCCTTTCCCCCACGCCCTCCCTCTCCCTTCCCTCCCCCTCCTGCTTCCAGAGTGGTGCCCTGCGGCCACTGGCTTCCTCCATGGGATGTGACTCAGGCGGGCGGGGAGTTTGGCTCCAGGCGCCTTCCCTGGCAGGATGAGTGCCCAACCCCACCCTTCTGCTTTGGCACCCCAGACGCAGGGGGGGGGGGCTGTGGGGGCTGCTGGGAGGCTTTGAAGCCCTTGTCTTGCAGTGCATTCCTCTGTCTGGGCCCAGCCCAGGTCTGCCTGAGCGAAGCTGGGTGGGGCTGGGCCTGGCCAGCCTGGAATGTGCTGCCTGGGGATGTGCAGCCCTGACTGTTGGCAACCTTTGCTCCCTTGGGAGGGGCCAGACCCACCGGCAGCTCTGCCTTTATGCCCTGGCTCAGCCAGGTGTCCAGACTGAAGGGGGAGGAGACAGCCCCCCAGAGCAGCAGTGCCTCTGGCTGCTTTCTGGCTGCTTGGAGGAGGGGTGGGCTGTGCCCCCTGCCCCCTTTCTGGCTTGCCTGTGCTGCCCTGGGGCCAACAGCTGCCCGGAGCAGCTCTCGCGGCAGCCCAAGAGACCCACTGAGAGGTGGGCAAGGCTGAAGGGAGCCAAGGGACACCGGAGGCCCCCTTTGTGCTCTCTGGGGGCGAGGCTGTTCGCTGGGCCAGGGAAGAGGCGCTCCGGGCTTCTCTCCCCTTGCTCAGGAGCCCCCCACCCACCCCGCCCGAGGCTTGTCCCCTCGGCCCCGGTGGGGCTCAGGCCCTTCTGGATCTTTCCCTCCCGGTTCTCCCCCGGGCGCTGCGGGGATGGCCGGCCGGGAAGCGGTTAAATGGCCCAGGAGCGGTTTCCTGCCTGAGCAGGGAGGGGGGCAGGGGAAGCCCAGGGCCCGCCCAGCCCAGCCCCCAGCGGCTCCCAGGGAGGGAGGAGGGAGGGGCGGGCGGGCGGGGGCCGAGCGTCCTGGCCTGCTTGCGCCAACCTTGTTCCGCTCAGTAGCAGCCTTGGCCGGGAGCGGCCGTGGGGAGCGAGCGAGTCCCAGCGGCGTCAGGAGCGCCCATGTCGCGGCCGAGGGGGCGCAGCCGGGAGGCGGCCGAGGGTCCCTCCCCGGGGTGGCTGATGCAGCCCGGCAGCTCCGAGGAGGAGAACCTGTACAAGGCGGTCCTGCGCGCCTCCGAGGGCAAGAAAGGTACGGCGGGGGGGGGGGGGGGGGCGGCTGCGGCTCCTCCCGCCTCTCGGGCCCCGCGGAGCCCGCTTCGCCTGCCGCCTTTGCCCCCTTCCAAGGTCCCTTCCCGGCACCGCCGAGCCTCCCTGCGCCGCCGCCGGCCACTTCCTGGTGCGCGGCATTGGGCGCAAAGGCCCGCCGGACGGAGGGAGCGGCCCGGGCGCTGCCGAGCGACTTTTCCGCGACCGGCGTGGAGCCTGCTGGCGGGGGGGGGGGGGGGGGGGGCGATCCCGAGCAAGGCCCGCCGGAGGAAGGGCAGCCGCTCGGCCCGGAGGTGCCGTCGAGGATCGCTGGGCCGGGCGCCAGGGAGGGGGGCGCAGCCGCAGGAGGGCGCTGCTCCACCAGGCCGCTCCCTCAGCGAAGCCGGGGCCCCACCTGGCCCGCAGGGGGTTGGCGGGCTGCCGGGGAGGCTGGTGGGCGCTGGTGCCGGGCCTGAGCCGACCTGCCTCTCGGCTGCGCCCTTCCCAGCCCCCTTTTCCCCGCCGCTGGCTCTTCCTCCAGTGGCCACGCTCCCTCCCCCCCGGCCCTTCCGGAATGGCTGGTGGTCGATCAGATCGCCTCAGCCGCCGAGGGACGTTTCTTCTTCTACACACCGGAGCAACCCATGATAAATAAAGCCGAGCAAAGGTGCACAGCTGCCAGCAGGATCCTGGGCAAGAGCCGGGCTGCTCGGAGACCTGCCAACCGTTGGGATGCAGGCAGAGTTTGGTCCTTCCCAGGAGAGGCTTGGCTGGAAAAATGAGGGGGTGTTTGGTTTACTCCTGAGTAAAACCTGGTCTCTTGTGCTGGTGGCATCCTGGCCGGATACAGACCCGACCTGTTCCCAGGGAATCAAGCTGGGGGCAAGCTGGGACTTTGGCCTGGTCTGTTTCACCAAGAGCTTCTGTCTGTCTGTCTGTCCCATGAGAGCCTCCATGACCAAATGATGCGCAGCGGAGATGAGCCCACCTGGTGGGAGGACGGGCTATTAAAGGGTGCCGTTTATAGCGTGGGGGGGTGGGGGGGGGAAGTGGAAAAGAGCCGGACTGAATCACCAGGGAAAGGAAAAGGCAGAAGGTCCATGGCGCCAGGACAAGCCAGAAGGGGGAGCGGATCTTCCGGAGCAGAGGAACTTTACCTGGGGTGGGTTGGCTTTGTCATGAATGAGGGAACCAAAATGTACGTCAGGAAGTAGGAGCTGCTGTCATTGCAAGTAGGCCCAGCGTTGTACGTGAGTTGGAGGTCGGGAGTGGATCATGGGAAAAAGGGGGGAGAAGAATTGCAAGGGAAAGTAGAAGAAAAAACGAGTGTGCTGCTGCCGGAAAACCTGATGATTCTCCCCAAGAGAATGAAGAGTTGATATGAGAAAAGAAGGGTCTGCTTTGGAAATCCTTAGCCGGATTCTCACAGAGGCTCACAGAAATGCGGGAGTTACAGCAACAGGAAATACAAAAAGGATGCTGGACAAATGTGGAAATAAGAGACCTCGCGGGGGAGGTGCAAAAGAATGACTGAAAGAGGCAGGGAAAATGCAGAACGGTTCTAATGGAAATTAATTGTTTGGGGATTAAATGAAGAGGACTAAACAAGGAGGCTTCGGCAGCATGAGTGGAATTATAAATAAGAACGTTATTTGGGGTGAAAACCGGAGAGGAGGAGTGGTGGTGGAAAGAATTTTAGGGTTTGCACTGAAACGATAGGAAAATATGAAAGGGTGGAGTTGAAAGCAACATCCAAGTCAAAATGATGAAAAAGGAAGCTGTAGTTGCTCTGAGAGTTTTGAAAACGGGTCAGGTTCCTGGGGAGGAAGGTTGAGACCCGCACGGAGGGGTTTGGGGCGGCAGTGCAGGCTGTGTGTGCAGACTGGGGAGGTTCCCATGGGAAGGCCCCCCCGGAGCTGGGGGGGGGGGGCTTTGTCCTAGGAGGTGTACTTTGCTCAGCAGCTCCTTGGGAAGGGTATGAATGGGGGCGGGGGGGGGAAGGACTTGGGTTGGTTTAGTGGATGTGGCTGAGGTGGAGAATTCTCTGGGGAGTCTGGAGTTGGGGGATGGTGGCTGATGGTGGTCAGAAGAAGGTTTGGCGGAAGCCCAGCATCTTCAGAACACCTGGAATGTTGGCATCTGGGCGGGTTGACCGTTGGAAGTCCTTGAGGGTGAAGGTGGATGTGTCCTTGGGGTGGGACCCCAATGCCCCAAAAGCGAGGCTGGCGGGCTGGCGGTCAGTGCCATTCACAGCCAAAGCCGGCTGGGCTGTGTGGTACAAATCTGAAAAGTAACCTATCAGGGACGTTGGGTGAAAATGTGTTAAGATGTTCAAATGTGGCAGAAAGAAAATGGGATAGAAGATACTTTATTGGAAGGGATGTAGGGTAAGTGGAAGCAGGGAGAAAAGTCTGTTTCTGCCTGGGGTGTGGTCTGGAATCGGTGGGTCAGGCAAGCCTAGGTTGAAAGTCCAGAGCCGTGACGGGAGGGTGGGGTGTCAAAGGAGCTGGGGGGGCAATGGGGAAGGGCGGAGTGCCGGAGTGAGCGAGGACCAGGACAAAATAAGAGCAGCTGAGAGCTGAATTGCACAACAGGCATGGCGGTTGAGGGAAGGGGCGGATCAAGAATGCGTGCGGGGGGGGGGGGCCGGGCACGGAGGCACGGAGAGGGTGAAAATAGGGGTGTTCCAGGAGCACCGGGCTGTGCCAAGAGAAGCGGGGAGTGGGTGGGGTCCCGCTGAGCTTCCTTTTTCACCCAGGGCTGCCTAGCGGAGAGCGTCTGGCTGGGGGCTGGACAAACAGCCCACAAGCAGTGACAAATGCAGGGGGGCTGAGGGCCCACTTAGCCTTTGGAGATCTGTGCAAAGGGAGCGACCCCCCTCCCCCCATTCCACAAGGCCTGGTGGAGGAGGGGAGGCTGGGCTATGGCAGAGCCCCTCCTTGGCCCAGACCTCCAGAGGAGGGGGGGTTGGCAAGAGAGTGTGGGCCCACTGGGGGGGGGGGGCTTTCCCATCCCTGGCCAGCCTCTGGAGGTTCCCAGCGTGGGTTTCCTCCCCATCCTCTCCCTCCTTCCATAGGCCCCACTTAACACCCCCCCCCCCCCCCCCCCCCCCCTTCCCGAGGGGCGCGCCCGGGTCCAGAAGAAAACCTTCACCAAATGGGTCAACAAGCACCTCTTCAAGGTAAGTCCCCCTTTCCTGGGGGGGCGGGGGCAGCCGGGGTGCCCGCCTCCCTGCCTGGATCTGAGCCAGGCAGAAAGGATGGCCGTCCTGGGGGCCTCGGGGGTCCCAGGGACGTGGCTGTGAGCAGTGGATGGTGCGCAGGAGGCCCACCCACCATTTTCATGGAAGACGCAGCTGGCCTCAACCTCTCTTCCTCCTCCTTCTTCCTCCCTTTCCCTGACCCAGTTTCTTGGGGCACAGAGGCTTTGGGCCCCCCACATCATGGATCTGGAAGCCCTGGAGCTCTGCCCGCAGATGGGGTGGGATTTCTGGGGAAGGGCTCGCGTTGCCCTGGGGAACCCCCGTCTCTCTGGGGCTGCTTTCCTCCTCTTTGGGAGCCCCACCCTATGCTGCCCTGGCACAGCAGTTGGAAAGGCCACCGGCTGGGGGGATGGGAGAAGCCGGGGGGCTGCAGGACCCCCATGTGTGAGGTGCTTCCTGGGGCATTTACCAATCCCGACTTCTCTCTCTGTCTCTCTCTCTCTCCCTCCGAGGCTTCTCTCTTTCCTTCTTTCTTCCTTCTCTCCTGCCTTGGCAACAGCACTGGAGAGCAGAGGTAGGTGCCAAGGCAGGCTGGGCTTTCACCCACTGCCTCCCTCCCTCCCTCCCTCTCTCTCTTCCTGCGATCTCTAGGAGTCCCACAGCCTTTTCCTCTGGGGACGGCTGCCGGGCCAGGCCTGAAGCAGAGGCTACCTGGGGTGTGGGTCTCAGAGGCAACGCCAAAGCCAGGTGGAGGGCAGGGGCTGGACGTTCCTTGAACTGGCATGGGCGTGACTGCCCTCCCCCCATACCCCAGCCACCTCCCAGCTGGGTCCACGTCTCAATCCCTCCGGTTTGTCTTTGCCTCCACAGGCCCAGCGCCACGTGAATGACCTCTACGAGGACCTGCGAGATGGACACAACCTGATCTCACTGCTGGAAGTGCTCTCGGGGGACACTCTGGTACGTGGCCTCCTGCGCCTGCCCCTTGGGGCTTGGTGGGCAATGCCGCTCTTCCCACCCGAGCTCTGGAGGAAGCAGCTCAACCTTCTGCACCGGGGGTCCCAGTGCCCTGCCTCTGCCCACCAGCGTCTACCGCCCTTGCCTCCTGCTTGCGGGTTGCTCGGCGCCTCCTCCCCGGCTGCATGCTGCCTGCACCCGTGTGTCGCCTGGCCTGAGCCGGGAGTCTGAGCAGCAGCTTCCCTCTTTCTCGACCCTTGCATGGCCGGCCGGAGGCTTTGGGGAGAGAGCTGCTCCTGTCTCTTGCCCGGGGCTGGGTTCCCCGGGGGCTGGACCTCTAGGCCCAATGCCACGACAGCCCCGGCTGTGCTCTGGCCAAAGAAGCAGCTGGAGGGGGACGTCTCCTCGACCGCCTCCATGTCAGCCGCCTGTGCCGATACAAAAACAGGCGGTGCTCCCACTGGTGGTGTCCAGGAAGAGGAATGGCAGCCGACCTTCGGGACGCTCAGAGGGGATCTGCGGAGGTTGAGCGCCATCTCGGTGGCCTCCTGGGTTAAGGAGGATGAAGGCGTGAGACGCACGGACACCAAAATGCTCCCACCCCAGCGTGGGCCTTAGAGCGACGCCTGTGATGCTGCCACCCTCCGGCGCCCCCCTGCCGCCGCCTCCTCCTCCTCCTCCTCCCTCCCCCACAGCAGGCCAAGGCTGCCCTCACACTCTAACGCAAGAGCTGCTCCGGACTCTGCTCCTCTCTCACTTCCTCTGGGTTGTCTGTCTGCCGCTCCTTGTGCTGTTTGTCTGTCTCTTCTCTCTGCTGGATTCTGACCTCTGCTTCCCTCTTGCTCGGCTGTCACCTGCTGCTCAGCCCAGAGAGCGCGACGTGATCCGGAACTTGCGCCTGGTGAGTGTCCTGCCCGGTTCTGCATGGCACTCCTGCTGTGGCTGCTCTCGGCATCTGCTGGAGAGGAGCCCAGCTGATGCGCACCGCCTCCTCGCTTACGCAGAAGCCGCCTGCCCCGTCCGTGCCCTCCGAAAGCTTTGCTTGACCCGTAACTGCTGACGGGAGGCCGGTGCATCGCATGGCGGATCCCTCGGAGTGGGCCCTTGGGCAGTGTGGCTGCCCCCTTGGCCCTGAGCCCGGGGCTCTGCAGAGGGGATCCAGGATGGCAGGCAGGCCGGGGGGGGGGAGCTGTGTGGCCGCCTCCTGGCAGTGCCTCCTTGTCTGGAGGGGAATCCAGCGTGGTGCTGAGGGTGGCCTTGTGAGCTCCTCTTGCAGCGGCCGAGCTTAAGGTAGCCCTAGGATGCTTCAGCTGGGCGAGGACGGCAGGCGGTGGGGGAGAGGTGGGTGGTGCAGGTCTTTCCTCGCTCCGTCCGCCAGGCTGGGCTTTCTTTGCCCTTCTCTGGCTCCTTTCAGCCAGGGTGGGAGGGAAGGGGGACACACACCCCGCTCCAGGGCCCTGACCTGAGCCTCCTCCTTTGCCCACAGCCCCGGGAGAAGGGACGGATGCGCTTCCACAAGCTGCAAAATGTGCAGATCGCCCTGGACTACCTGAAGCACCGGCAGGTGAGCATGTGGGACGGGGAGCCTGGAGGGGAAGAGTGGAAAGGCCGTGGGGCCCCCCAGTAACCGTGTGTGTGTGCATGTGCGTGCCTCCACAGGTGAAACTGGTCAACATCCGGAATGATGATATCGCTGATGGCAACCCCAAGCTGACGCTGGGCCTCATCTGGACCATCATCCTCCACTTTCAGGTGAGTCCAGTCCCCCCCCCCACCTTCTTCCCTGCTCTGCTCTGGCAGGCGGGGCCTCTCTTTGGCCCCTCCCTCCCTTGGGGGCCAGATTCTTGTAAGCCTCCCCCGCCCCTCTTCTTCTCCCCAAAGCAGCAGGCATTCGGATGGGCCAAGGCCCTGGGGTTGCCCTTCCCTTCGGAGGCTGGGCAGGGAGGGAAGACTGGTGGGAGGGGCAGGCGTGTGTGGGGGGGGGGGGAGGTGGCAGGGGGAGTAAGTGAGGATCATCCCAGGAGTGGGTCCTGGGGGAGGGAAGGAATGTGGGCTGTGGCTGGGAGAGAACAGGATGCTGCGGCTTGTGGGGCTGACTCACCCAGCAGTCGCTTCAGGAGACGAGATTTTCCACCGAGGGCTTGGCCTGGGCGGGTGGGGGGGGGGGGGGGGGGGGGCGGGGGGGGCCAGCGGCGGGGGGGGGGGGGGGGGGGGGGCATTGCGGCCACCAGGGCCTGCAGGGAACTACCCCTCTCTTGAGAGGCACATGGCCGCTCCGAGGAGGCTGGTGGGCGGTTCCAGGCCTGGGCGCAGAGAGTGGCCCAGCCTTGACTGAAAGCCTTCTGAAGCCCATTGGTGGGGGGGGGGGCATCCCAGACGGTCAGCAACTTCCGGCAGACCCCCGGATTGAGGCGGTCCCTCTTTCCTCCAAGATCTCGGACATCCAGGTGACTGGCCAGTCAGAGGACATGACGGCCAAAGAGAAGCTGCTGCTGTGGTCGCAGCGCATGGTGGAGGGGTACCAGGGCTTGCGCTGCGACAACTTCACCTCCAGCTGGCGCGACGGCCGTCTCTTCAACGCCGTCATCCACAGGCACAAGTAAGGGGCGGGGCAGGGGGTGAGTGGGCAGGTTTGCAGTGTTGCACCCAGGAGGAATCCGTGGGGGTTGAGCCAGTGGCCTCAACCGCAGGCCGCCCTGCTTGGGAAGGGAGGAAGGGTCCCTTGAGCAATAGGGCAGGGGTGGGCCGGAGCCCCTCTGGCCTGGCCTCTCTCTCCCCCTCTCAGCTGGCGGAGGGCAGGGGTCTGGCACTCCTGCTGGCACCCAGCGCCCCCTCCGAGTCGAGGCCAGGGGGGTGGCCAGAGGGGCAGCTTTTTGATGCCCGTGAGGACCAGCAGGCTGCTTCTGAAAGGCCAGCGTCTCAGTCACGAGGAGGCCTGCTCCAGGCTGCGGACGCGCCGTGGGACCCCTCCCACACAAGGAGCATTGGGCTCGGGGGCCTTCAGGACCCGGCTCTCCATCTGGTCCTGTGCCCTAAGAAGGGGGGCCCGGGTTTCTTCCTCCCAGGCATGGGTTGCGGGGAGTGGGCTTGCAAGCGATCGTTCGGAGGGGGGCAAGGAAGCAGGAAATGCTCCGCTTGGCTCATGATGTCCTGTCTTGGGGGATGGACGGACACGCACACACCCAGTACTGCAGCAGGCCTTGAGGACTGGAGCCTTGAGTTTTTCTAATTGTTGGGAAGCTGATTACTCCAGCTATGTCTGTGCTCCCTATTTTAAGGAGCAGAGGCTCCAGGCCACAGCGCTGCGGCCTCCGGAAGACCCCCCAGGGGGCCCAGGGGCTGGTGCCAGGAGAGGCTGGGCCTCTCAGGAGCCTCTTAGGGAGGGGCACAGACCAGTTTGAGGGCCCGTCCAGCCCCAGGGGAAGGCCTGGCACCGAATTGGGACCCAGCAGAAGCCCAGCCCACTTCCTGGGGCATCCCTGACCCCAGCCCCCTCCTCTGCAGGCCAATGCTGATTGACATGAACAAAGTCTACCATCAGAGCAACGTGCAGAACCTGGAGCAGGCCTTCTCGGTGGCGGAACACGACCTGGGCGTGACGCGGCTCCTGGACCCGGAAGGTACCGGGATGGGCTGCCCCGTGGGCAGGGCGTGGGGGGGGGGCTCCTTTGGGAAGGGCAGCACAGCATTCCCTCCCCCCTTCCTCCTCCCCAGACGTGGATGTGCCCCAGCCGGATGAGAAGTCCATCATCACCTACGTGTCCTCCCTCTACGACGCCATGCCGCGAGTGCCGGACGTGCCAGATGGGATCAAAGCCAATGTGGGTGTTGGGGGGCATGGAGTGGGGAGGCCTGGCCGGGCTGTGGGCTCGGGGTGCGACCTCCGCACCCACCACCTTCTCCCTCATGCCTCCCCAGGAGCTGCAGCTCCGCTGGCAGGAATACTACGGCGTGGTCAGCCTGCTTCTGCAATGGATACAGCACCACACGGTGACCTTTGAGGAGAGGAAGTTCCCTGCCAGCTACGAGGAGATCGAGGTGGGGGGCTCTGTCCTGGGCCGCCTCCCTCTCTGGCTGGGTGCAGCCGCCGCCTCTTGAGGGCAGGCCTGGTCCCCCCTCCTGGGCTGGGGAGGCACCCCGTGGTTGTTGGGCAAGGGAGTCCCCTTCTGTGGCCAGCTCTGCCCCCAGGAGAGTCTCTGGGCCGCCCCCAGGACCCCCCTGGCCCTCCCCACCATCCCCTGCCGCCTTCTCCCGCAGATCCTGTGGCACCAGTTCCTGAAGTTCAAAGAGATGGAGCTGCCCGCCAAAGAGGCTGACAAGAGCCGCTCCAAGGTGATCTTCCAGTCCCTGGAGGTGAGCTCGAATTGCCCCCTTGGTGCCCTGGTGGGGCCGGAGGCCCTGGGCCAGCCGGCATGCCAGCCTCCCGGAGGGCGGGGTGGCCTTCTGGGGGCTGTCCTCAGCAGCTCCCATCTGCTTCCGGCTCCGCCAGGCTGCTGTGCAAAGTGGGCAACTGAAGATCCCTCCGGGCTACCACCCGCTGGACGTGGAGAAGGAGTGGGGCAGGCTGCACGTGGCCATCCTGGAGAGGGAGAAGCTGCTGCGCTCGGAGTTTGAGAGGCAAGCCCAAGCGCCTAGCAGAGCACCCAGAGGGAGGGGGGTCACAGGGGCTGGAGCCCGGCCCTTCCTCTTCCTGGGGAGGCAGAGGGAGCCCGGCAGGCAGGAGGGCAGCGGCCCCCTCCCAACCGCAGCCGGCCCAGCCCTAATGGGAAACACACGGCTCTCGTGACTCACCACCCGCCCCCCCCCCCCCCCCCCCCCCCCCCACCCCCCCAAGTGCAACCCCGCGCCCCCGGGGCCCCCCCCCCCCCCCCCCCCCCCCCCCCCGGCTGTATTCCTCAGGAAGCATCTGGGCGAGCAGGCAGAGTGAGCCAAGGCAGCCTGGGACAGCTAGTCTGCCCTCCCCTGGCCCAGCGGAGTGGAGTGGAGGGCTCCGGCAGGGAGGGAGCTGGCCGGGACCCTCGTTCACTTCTTCCCTCTCGCTGCCCTCCTGCCTTCCTAGGTTGGAACGGCTACAGCGCATCGTCAGCAAACTCCAGATGGAGTCCGGCCTCTGCGAGGAGCAGCTCAACCAGGCGGACACCCTGCTGCAGTCGGTGAGAGGGAGGCGCTCTGCCCTGCTCCCGCTGGAGCCCCGGGGCCAGGAGTGGGCGGGAGGGTCTGGCCTGGGGCTCTGCCCGGCTCAGGGTCCTTGCTTCCCTCCTGCAGGACATCCGCCTGCTGAATGCAGGTAAGGCGTCCCAGCACTTGGCGGAGATTGAGCGGGACCTGGACAAGGCCGAGGCCATGATCCGCTTGCTCTTCAACGATGTGCAAGCCCTCAAGGATGGGCGCCACCCCCAGGGCGAGCAGATGTATCGCAGGTAGTAATGCTTCTCCCCTCCCCCCACATGGGGGGGGCAGTCTTTGCATGGGAGAGCGCTGCTGCTGGTGCCCCGAAGTTATGGGCTTAGGACCCACTTGCAAGGGAGCCTCTGCCCCTCAGAACACACACACACACACACACACACACACGCACGCACGCACACAGTCAGCAACTTTTGTAGGTACTGCCCTCTGGTGGTGGGAGCTGCCCACTACAGTTTGCAACCTCTGCAGGAGTGGCAGCAGCCACTCTCACTGGGCCCGGAAGGGGGGACCTCCGGCTGCTGTCTTTCCTGCACGGACCCCTGTCTGTAGCACAGCATTCCCCCCCTCTGCAGGGTTTACCGCTTGCACGAGCGCCTTGTGGCCATCCGCACCGAGTACAACTTGCGCCTGAAATCTGGGACGGTCCAAGTGTCCATGCCAGTCACGCAGCACCTGCGGCCGGAGTTGGACGATGTCACCCTGCGCTACCTGCAAGATCTGCTGGCCTGGGTGGAAGAGAACCAGGCCCGTCTCAATGCAGCCGAATGGGGTGTGGACCTGCCCACGGTGGAGTCACAGCTCGGCAGCCACCGGGGACTGCACCGCTCCATCGAGGAGTTCCGCCCCAAGATTGAGCGAGCCCGGGCAGACGAGGTATACAGGGCAGGGGAGGGGGTGCCAGGCCTGGGGGTCCGCGAATGCCAGCCTCCCAGCAAGGCTTGTTGAAGGAGAGGGCTACCATGTCTGCACACGGGGGGTTTCATGGCTCTCCTTTGCCCACTGTAGGCCCAGCTCTCTCCTGGTCCACAGACCTCATACCGGGACTACCTTGGCAAGCTGGACGTGCAGTACGAGAAGCTGCTGGTGAGCAGATGGCTGGGACGGTCGGGGCAGCAGAGGGGACACAGGCAGAGACCTTGCTTCTCCGCCCCCTTGGGGACGCAGCAGCATTGGGCACCTTGGGGCTCTTAGCCCCGGACACTGTCCCTCGACCAGCGGACGGGGTGCTCTTGGTGCTGGGATGAGCCGCCGTGGTCCATGTCTTGCAGAGCTCCTCCAAGGCCCGACTGCGGCAACTGGAGAGCCTCCAGGCATTCGTGGCTGCGGCCACCAAAGAGCTGATGTGGCTGAATGAGAAGGAGGAGGAGGAGGTGAACTACGACTGGAGCGAGCGCAACAGCAACATGGCTGCAAAGAAGGAGAGCTACTCGGTAAAAGTCGCCCTCCCCCTCTGGCCCCGAGCGAGGAGCCCGGCTGCCAGGCCCCGGCTGACCCCCGGATCTGTGCTCTGCCCCCCTCTAGGGCCTGATGAGAGACCTGGAGCTGCGGGAGCGGCGGGTCAAGGAGATCCAGAGCACGGGCGACCGGCTGCTGCGGGAGGATCACCCAGCCAGGCAGACGGTGGAGGTGGGTGCGGTGGGGGGAAGTGCCAGCAGTCACGGCTGCATCACGAGGAGCCCTCGTCAGATGACCGCTCCCCCTGCCTCCCCCCCCCCCCAAGCGGGCACCCGGGGGCGTGGGAAGGGCTCCCTGGCCTCCCTCTGCTAGCTCAGCTTCCCGGCCATCTGCTCTGCTTCTCCCTGCAGGCCTTCCAGGCGGCCCTGCAGACTCAGTGGAGCTGGCTCCTGCAACTCTGCTGCTGCATCGAGGCTCACCTGAAGGAGAACAGCAGCTACTTCCAGGTAGACCTGCAGGAAGGGCGGGGGGGGGGAGTCTCTAGCAGCCGAGCGGAAGAGCAGGACTCTGGCCGGGACCGGCCGGACTTCGTCCTTCTGGCTCCCTCTGGCGAAGGGGTGGGGGGCACAGAACCCCAGAGGACTCTGCGTCGATCAGCACCCTCCTCCCCCCCCCCCCCCCCCCAGTTCTTTTCTGACGTAAAGGAAGCGGAGGAGTTTCTGCGCAAGACTCAGGAGGCGATGAAGAAGAAGTTCACCTGCGACCGCTCCATCACAGTGACTCGCTTAGAGGACCTGCTGCAGGACGCCCTGGTGAGGGCGGGTGGGTGGGAGAGGCCCCTCCCCCTGGCCCAGCAGCCTTCTTTCCCCCCCACTTACCCAGGCTTCCCCCGCCTCCCCCCCTCCCCCACTTCAGGAGGAGAAAGACCACCTGACCCAGTACCAGAGCCACCTGGCTGGGCTGGCCAACCGGGCCAAGACCATTGTCCAGCTGAAGCCCCGCAGCGCAAGCCCCCCACTTAGGGGACGGCTGCCCCTCCAGGCCGTCTGCGACTACAAGCAAGTGGAGGTGAGTGAGGAGGGGGGGCCGTGGGAGGGTGCAGGGAGGGGGGCCGCCCCTGGGCTGCGTCAGTGAGCTGCCCTCCCATTCCACCCTCAGATCACCATGCGTAAGGGGGACCCCTGCACCCTCCTCAGCAACGCCCAGCCCTACAAGTGGAAGGTCTTGAACGCAGCCGGCAAGGAGTCCCTCGCCCCCTCCATCTGTTTCCTGATCCCCCCACCCAACAAGGAGGCCCTGGAGGCCGTAGGGAGGTACGTGCTTCTCCCCTGGGCTCTGGGGTGGCAGGAAAGGCTCCCTCCCTTCTTCAACAGGCCATCGTGCCCCCCTCCCCCCGCCGGGTGTGGGGCCAGGCGGGAGCCCCT